TCAAGACCCCACAGGGGGTTTTCGAAATTCTTTGAAACTACTTCAAAAACAAAACACAAGAGGTCCTCAAGATTCTTTTAAACTACTTCAAAAACAAGACATACAGGGGGTCCCCGAGATGCTTTCAAACTACTTCAAAAACAAGATACAAAGAGTCTTGAAGATTCTTTCAAATTGCTACAAAAACAATACACACAAATATATCCGAGATTCTTTTAAACTTCTTCAAATACAAAACAAAACTGGTTCAAAGATTCTTTCAAATTACTTCAAAAACCAGGCGCAAGAGTTCCTCAAGATTCATTCTTACTAGTTCAAGAACAAAACATAAGTAGTTCCCGAGATTCTTTCAAATTACTTCAAAAACCAGGCACTAGAAATCCCCAAGATCTTTCGCAGTAGTTCAAAAACAAAACACAAGAGGTTCCCTAGATTATTTCAAATTACTTCAAAAACAAAATACAAGAAGTTTTGAAGATTCTTTCGAATTGCTTCAAAAATAATGCACAGAAATATACCCGAGATTCTTTTAAACTTCTTCAAATACAAAACAAAAATGGTGCAAATATTCTTTCAAATTACTTAAAAATCAAGACCCCAGAGGGGGTTTTCGAAATTCTTTGAAACTACTTCAAAAACAAAACACAAGAGTTCCTCAAGATTCTTTTAAACTACTTCAAAAACAAGACAATCAGGGGGTCCCCGAGATGCTTCAAACTACTTCAAAAACAAGATACAAAGAGTCTTGAAGATTCTTTCAAATTGCTACAAAAACAATACACACAAATATATCCGAGATTCTTTTAAACTTCTTCAAATACAAAACAAAAACGGTTCAAAAATTCTTTCAAATTACTTCAAAAACCAGGCGCAAGAGTTCCCCAAGATTCATTCTTACTAGTTCAAAAGAAAAAACATAAGTAGTTCCCGAGATTCTTTCAAATTACTTCAAAAACCAGGCACTAGAAATCCCCAAGATCATTCGCAGTAATTCAAAAACAAAACACAAGAGGTTCCCTAGATTATTTCAAATTACTTCAAAAACAAGACTCGCATATAATCCTCAACATTCTTTCAAACTACTTCAAAAACAAAATACAAGAAGTTCTGAAGATTCTTTCGAATTGCTTACAATACACAGAAATATAGAAGAGATTCTTTTAAACTTCTTCAAATACAAAACAAAAATGGTGCAAAGATTCTTTCAAATTACTTAAAAATCAAGACCCCACAGGAGGTTTTCGAAATTCTTTGAAACTACTTCAAAAACAAAACACAAGAGGACCTCAAGATTCTTTTAAACTACTTCAAAAACAAGACACTCAGAGGGTCCCCGAGATGCTTTCAAACTACTTCAAAAACAAGATACAAAGAGTCTTGAAGATTCTTTCAAATTGCTACAAAAACAATACACACAAATATATCCGAGATTCTTTTAAACTTCTTCAAATACAAAAGATTCTTTCAAATTACTTCAAAAACCAGGCACTAGAAATCCCCAAGATCTTTCGCAGTAGTTCAAAAACAAAACAAAAGAGGTTCCCGAGATTCCTTCAAATTACTTCAAAATCAATATCCACTGGGGGTCCTCAACATCCTTTCAAACTAGTTCAAAAACAAAATACAAATAGTCCCCGAGATTCTTTCTAATTACTTCAAAAACAAAACCTACAGTGATTTTCAACATTATATCAATCTACTTCAAAAACAAAATACAAAGAGTCCTCGAAATTGTTGCAAATTGCTTCAAAAACAATACACAGAAATACCCGAGATTCTTTGAAACTTTTTCAAAAACACCTTTCGCACCAATTTAAAAACAAAACACAAGGGGTTCCCGAGATAATTTCAAATTACTTCAAAAACAAGATCCACTGGGGGTCCTCAACATCCTTTCAGTCCTCGAGATTCTTTCAAAACAAAAAGGGTTCAAAGATTCTTTCAAATTACTTCAAAAACTAGACTCACAGGGGCTATTCAAGATTCTTTCAAACTACTTCAAAAATAAAACACAAGAGTTCCCTAAGATTCTTTTAAACCACTTCTAAAGCAAGACCCACAGGGGGTTCCCGAGATGCTTTCAAACTACTTCAAAAACAACACACAAAAGGTACCCGAGATTGGTTTAAGCTTCTTCAAAATCAAGACCTGCAGGGGGTCCCAGAGATTCTTTCAAAACTACTTCAAAAACAAAATACAAGCAGACCCCGTGATTCTTTCTAATTACTTCAAAAACTAGGCACAAGAGATCCCTAAGATTCTTTCGCACCAATTCAAAAACAAAACAAAAGAGGTTCCCGAGATTCTTTAAAATTACTTCAAAAACAAGATCCACTGGGGGTCCTCAACATCCTTTCAGTCCTCGAGATTCTTTCAAAACAAAAAGGGTTCAAAGATTCTTTCAAATTACTTCAAAAAAGAGAGTCATAATGGGTATTCAAGATTCTTTCAAACTACTTCAAAAATAAAACACAAGAGTTCCCTAAGATTCTCTTCAACCACTTCAAAAACAAGACCCACAGGGGTTCCAGAGATGCTTTCAAACTATTTCAAAAACAAATTACAAGTGGTCCCCAAGATTCAAAAGCAAAACAGACACAGTCTCCGGAATTCTTTTAAATCACTTCAAAAACAAAACAAAGGATCCTGAAATTCTTTGAAAGTACTTCAAAAATAGACACAATGGATCCCCGAGATTCTTTCAAACTGCTTCAAAAACAAAATACAAGTGGTCTCCAAAATTCAAAAGCAAAACAGAAGCGGTCTCCGAGATGCTTTCAGATTACTTCAAAAACAAAACGAGGGATGCCGAAATTCTTTAAAACTACTTCAAAAACAGATACAATGGGTCCCCGAGATTCTTTCAAATTGCTTCAAAAACAATACACAAAAATTTCTCCGAGATTCTTTCAAATAATATCAAACACAAGACGTCACAGATCACGGGACTTTGTGATTCTTTCAAACTACTTCAAAAACAAAAGACAAGCGGTCCCTAATATTCTTCCAAATTACTTTAAAAACCTTGTCTTCATTAAGGCGAATCCTTACCTTTTTCACTTGTAATATCTTCGTTATTAACAGAGTTATTGCCATGAAATTTTAAATATAAATTGTCCACAAGTCACTCTTGATAACACATTAGCAGTTTTTTTAAACACAGTTTACTAGCATGATCCTTTTTAAAGCGTTTGTGAAATTTTTCATCACGTATTTTTAAAATTCATTATCGCAATTATTTCTGAAAATTTCGAAATGCGATTTTCACTACTGTTTTCAGCTTATTGTAAAATTCTAATTTTTTTCAAATTTTCAAAAATCGCGATATTTGAATGGGCGATTCTGGAAAAACGGTTGCAGTTATCGAAGAAATGTATATAGTGAAAAATCCCATTTTTGAAAAAATCGTCTAAAAATTTTCAAAAAATTCATTCCAGTGACTACTTCAAATATTGTTCAGTTTTGTTTTGGCAAGTGATAGCCCCGCCCACCCGCCCTCTATTTTTTTTGAAGATGTTATTTGCCAAAATCAGTCGTATCTTAGCAGGTATTAGCCCCGCCCACCTTTCATTCAGATAAAATGGGCGGAGTTAATTATATGTTCTTTTGTAAAGTGACAACCCTATACTATTTGATACAAAAAATGCATTTCTTATTTCAGAAGAAAAAAGAACGGGTAGGTGGGCGGGGCTAAGGTTAACTTTTTTTACAGTCTTTTATAAGCAGACAATACCAATAGCCCCTCCCATTCTTCATTGTATTGTGATTACTCGTAATACCGTTAATTATTCTCTTCAAATCCAAAGATTGTAAATCTACTTCTTATTTTGGCTTGTCAAAATAGAATCCAATTCCAATTTTACAATAAATAAAATAAGTCAGAGGAATGGAGAGAGAGTCAGAGGTGGGCGGGGCTGAGTAGCTTTTCTCAAATCACCAAATCCTCAAATCACTAAATCACCATGCTGAAAATAGTGGTGAAAACTGCATTCCGAAATTTCAATTGTAACTGAAAGAATTCAAACAGTACTAATAAATGACTTGTGGAGGTGCCTCAGGGTTCACACATTGAGCCATTTCTATTCTCCATTATATAAATGGTGTTAAGTCATGTAGTTGACCTTTCTGATTACTGTCATCTATTAAAAAATTCCAAGAAATTTTGCCAATACATATAATATTACTCTATGGTAGAAAAAGTTATAAACACAACAAACTGTTTTGGTGGACACATCCGCATTAAAAACGCTAACTTATAGATGGCCGCATTCTTCAATGTCTCGCTTCTCCAGTCTCCACTAGGAAAAAACTCTTCACTCTGTTCTTCGAAATACAATTAACTAGACAGAGCCGGTATTGTACGATTCAATCACGAAGCCTTCACCCGAAATACCGCTGTGTTAGTTGATGAATAAGAGAAAAAAAATGCATGCTGGGTATTACGTAACCCAAAACCACCGTGGCAGACCCATTTCTATTCAAGACCCAACTGTAAAATACCGAAACCATATGGTAAAAAGTGACCCCCAAATGGTTCCACAATAAACACAAAAGTGTCCACTTTGTCTATCATGTCAACAAAACTAGTAAAAACGTGCTTCAAACCCCAAACATGTCATCAGTTGCCTTGAAGTCAATTTTTCCCGAACCAACTGTCGTTCTTCAAACCCAAATCGTTTTGGAAATTGAACCCGTTTGGGAAAACCCAGAACTTATCCAACCAAATTACACAACCCACTACCAATTTGTTACATCACCTAGATTCTGGAACCGTCCGTCCCCAAAATTTAGACCAGCACGATTCAATTAACCCCAAAACCATGACCCATCCTCGCCAAAAGTACCCCTTGAGTAGTACCCCACCCTTGCATCTTTCACGTATTGCATCAGCTCCTCTTACACAACGCCACTTAACACTGACCGTGATATTTTTACCCCCCAGCACTCGCATAACACCTCTTTCACAACCCACCTCACTCTCTACTCTTTCTTCGTTCCAGACCCTCGCAGGACGATGCCGAACCAGCAGCAGAAACCCACGTAAACATGCCCCAATAACCCGACCTTCGTGACATAACACCATGACCAAATACAAAATGAACAACGACAGCGTTTCGACCACCGGTAGCCAGATCACGCTGACGTCATACATGGTGGGCGAAAACGTGGAGACGGACGAGGACGGCTCGACCAGGAGCAACCACGAGCACGCGAAAAAGGGGATGAACACCATTTTGGACCTGCCCCAGGAGAAGTACACGCAGAGGCGGTTCAGCGCGAGCGTGACCAGGGGGTTCGGGCAGTGGATCAAGGACAGGGCTCGGAGGGGCTGCACGAGGAAGTTGTTGTTTAAAAGAGTTCCTATTGTGACTTGGTTGCCGAAGTACAATGGCAGTGCTGCGGTGGCGGATTTTGTGGCGGGGTTGACGGTGGGGCTGACGGTGATTCCACAAGGGATCGCCTACTCGAATGTGGCGGGGCTGCCGCCGCAAATAGGTGAGTGGGGGTGGATGGGTTCAAATTGGACGACTATTAAAAGAATTAAAACAAAACGGAGAAATCTGCACAGTAATAATATGCTTGGAAAAGTCACACTGTAATTAGCAATGAGTCAGTGTTATTATAACTATTATTATTTTTTATTACTGTGGTAACACAATTTAGGTTCAACTGTATTTTTTGGCTTGTTTGTGACACGGGGAAAGTTTTGAAAATCAAATTGGCTACTTTCCAGAAGTATAATGTGTTATTATTTTTCTATCTGAGATTCCAAGAAAACATTAACAAAAAAATTAAAACTTAGAATACGTTGCAATATTTATTAACAGAACAAATTAGAAACTTTATTCTTATTACTACAAAACTTGCCGTTAAACATGGCCTTTATGGTGATTAAAGAAGGTCTAAAAATTTTCGAAATTTGTTTTTGTTTTTGAGATATTTTAAAAATTTGAATGTATCACAGAATTTTCAATGACTTTTTAGACAATTTTGACAAAAGTACAATTTTCAGTATGAAATGATCAAATTTTTTACTTTCATTTGAGCACTTTTAAAAATTGCTTAATGAAGTTGTTTGTGAATTTCAACATCCAAAAGTTATTCGACTTAATTCCCTCGAAAATTCGTGCCATTTTTTAGAATCGTCGAAATGAAATATAACAATTTTTGCGTTTTTTCGAACTTTGAACATCAAATCGAATATTTCTAAAATCTTGCTCCACGATCATTCACACGTCTTTTTTTTTCGAATTATGTCGTCGAGCAGTTTTGTAAATTTTTGGGCAACTTTTCCAAAAACTTGATTTTTCAAGGTTCCTTAGGAAATTTTGACACTTTCGAAAATTACCGGAAGAGGTTTTTTGTAAACTTCCAGATCAACATTTTGTTTTCAGCTTTGTTTCTTCCAAATTTTCATCATTTTTCGAGAATGAAATGTACAATTTTCCAATATGAAGTCTGGAATTTTTTTGGATTTTAAAAAATTTGACCATCAAACCGAACGTTTCGAAAATCTGGATCCCGAATTATAAACACGATTTTGAATCAGCTCGTCGAGATCTATATCCCAGATTTTCCTTCTCCAAAGGTTCAATTTTTCAGTACTCGATATTTTAAAATTTTTGACTTTTTTCTGAGCACCCTTGAAAATTACCCAAATGTTTTTTTTTAGAGATTTCAACAACCACAAGTTGTTTTCGGCTTTGTTTTTTAGTAAATTTTCAGCAATTTTGGAATTTTGGCAATTTTTTGGATTAAAAAAAATCGTCAAACCGAAGATTTCGCAAATCTTAATCCGATTCTAATAATAAACACTATATATTATTTGAATCAATTCAATTTTCAAGATTCCCCTTTTTTGAAATTTTTGACTTTTTTTTAATTTTTAGGCAACTTTCCACAAACCCGTTTTTTCTATGTTGCTCATCCCTTATGAATTTTTTGACGTTTTTTGGAACACTTTCGAAAAATACATGAAGAGATTTTTTTGTAACTTTCGACATCCACGAGTTGTTTTCTGCTTTCTTTTTCGCAATTTTCTACGGTTTTTCCAGAATGAAATTCGAAATTTTCCAATATTAAATATGGCAATTTTTTGGATTTAAAAAAAATGACCATCACACCAAAGTTTTCGCAAATCTTAATCCGGGATCATAAACACTATATATATTTTTAATCATCTCGTCAAGATTTATATCACAGATTTTCTTGTGTATTTATGGGCAACTTCTCCAAAAGTTCAATTTTTCAGGAGTCCCCTATTTTGAAATTTTTGACCTTTTTTCGAGCACCTTCGAAAATTACCTATGATTTTTTTGTAGATTTCGACAACCACAAGTCGTTTTTGGCTTTGTTTCTTGGCAAATTTCCAGCCGTTTTTATAAATTTTTAGGTAACTTTTCCAAAAAACAGGTTTTTCTATGTTCCTCATTCCTATATTTTTGGCGATATTTGGAACACTTTCGAAAAATACCTGAAGAGATTTGTTGTAACTTTCGACATCCACGAGTTGTTTTCAGCTTTGTTTTTCGCAAATTTCGACGGTATTTCTATTATGAAATACGAAATTTTCCGATATTAAATATGACAATTTTTTGGATTTAAACAAAATTACCATCAAACCGAATATTTCGAAAATCGTGATAAACACAATATATTTTTTGAATCAACTTGCCGAGATCTATGTCCCAGATTTTCTTGCGGATTTTTGGGCGAGTTCTCCAATAATTCAAAATTTCAATACTTTCTCATTTTGAAATTTTTAAACTTTTTCGAACACCTTCGAAAATTTCGTATAGAATTGTAGATTTCGACCTCGAGAAGTTATTTTCGGCTTCGTTTCTTGCGAAATTCCTACCAACTTTTCACAAATTCGTTTTTTCTATGAAATTTTGACGTTTTTTGGAACACTTTCGAAAAATACCTGAAGAGATTTCTTTGTAAATTTTGATATCCATGAGTTGTTTTCGGCTTTGTTTTTCGCAAATTTCGACAGTTTTTCTAGAATGAAATACGAAATTTTCCAATATTAAATATGGCAATTTTTTGGATTTTAAAAAAATTGACCATCAAACCGAAGATTTCGAAAATTTTGATCCTGGATGGCAAACACGATATATTTTTTGAAACTGCTTGTCGAGGTCTATGTCCCAGATTTTCTTGTGGAATTTTGGTCAACTCCTCAAATAATTCAACATTGAAAAAATAAAAAAAAAATCGTGAAATTCCTGCAATTTTTTATAATTGGACAGCGTCCTGAAGGTCCTTGATGTTTATTTGATTCGAAAACAATTTAAAAAACCCCTAGGGACCCTTCGATGCTTTGTTTTTGAAAAAAATAGAATCCCTTGACAGAAGAACATTATTAGCCCCGCCCACCCACCTTATCTCCTTTTCAGCGACTGATTTTATCCGATCTGAATGAAGTGAATGATCTTATACTGAACAGAAATAAAATTAGTCGTTAGAATAAGAAGTACTAGGATAAGAATGATTTTGGCAAATAACATATCTTCCAAGAAAATAGAGGGCGGGTGGGCGGGGCTAGTACTTAATAAGAAGAACATAATTATTTTTTGTGGATTTTTGGGCAATATTTCCAAAAGATCAATTTTTCATACTCCCTCATTTTGCAATTTTTGACTTCTTTTCGAGCAATTGTGGAAGTTACCTATAGAAATTTTTTTGTCGATTTCAATCTTCACAAATGATTTTTGGTTTTGTTTCTTGGCAAATTCCTATCATTTTTTGTCATTCGTCAATATAACAATTTTTAGGGTTTAAAAAATTATGTTATTATATATTTCGAAAATCTCGCTCCGGGTCATAAGCAGGCTATATATCTCGTCAAGTTCTATATCCCATATGTTTTTGTTGATTTTTAGGCAACTTTTCCAACGGTTTCAATATTCTCCTTTTATGAATTTTTTTCTTTTTTCTAGCATTTTCGAAAATTAACTAAAGAGATTTTTTTGTAGATTTCGAAGTCCAGAAGTCATTTTCGATTTCGTTTCTTTGAGAATTCCTGCCATTTTTCCATAATTGCCTAAAGAAATAAGACCATTTTTTGAATCTTGAAAAAATTTGACCCGGGATCAACACGCTGTATTTTTCGAATCATCTAGTCAAGATCTATATCCAAGAATTTCTTGTAAATTTTTAAGTGACCTTCCCAAAAGCTCGATTTTTCAATGTTTTTTACTCACTTCGGAGATTTTTGACGTTTTTTTGAGCACTTTCTAAAAATGTCTGAAGAAATTTTTTTGTAAATTTCGATATCCACGGCTTTGTTTTTCGCAATTTTTACGGTTTTCCGAGAATGAAATGCGAAATTTTCAGATATGACACTTTTTTGGATTTAAACAAAATTGCTATCAAACCGACTATTCGAAAATTGCCAAATTAAGTATGTTAATTTTTAGCATTTCTTAAAAATTTGACTATCAAACCCATTATTTCTAAAATCTTTTATCTTGCTCCGGAAAAATAAACACACTATGTTTTTCGAATTAGTTTATCGAGATCTATATCCTAGAATTTTTTGTAGATTCCTAGTAAATTTGTCCAAAATTTCAGTTTTTCAATATCCGCTTATGAAATTTTTGACTTTTTTCCACATTTTTGAAAATTATATAAAGAGATTATTATGAATACTCCACAAGTTATTATCGATTTTATTTTCTTCATATGAAATATGACAATTTTTTGAATTTTTAAAAAAATTGGATAATCAAGCCGAATTTTTAGCAAATTTTGCTCCGGGATCGTTAACACGGTCTATTTTTCGAATCATCTCATTGAGATCTATAGCCCAGAATTTTCTGTAAGTTTTTAGGCAAATTTTCCAAACTCAATTTTTCAATGTGACAAATGAAATGAAATTTTTGACGATTTTTGGAATACTTTCGAAAATTACCTAAAGAAATGTTTTTGTAAATTTTGGGTTTCAACCTCCTTAAGTTTTTTTCGGTTTAGTTTCTTCGCATATTCTCAATTTTTCCAGAATCGCCAAGTGAAAAATGGTAATTTTTAGGATTTTTAAAAAATGAGACTCAAATCGGACATTTCGAAAATCTTGTTCTTGTACAATAAACACACTATATTTTTGGAATCAGCTCGTCGAGATCTGCATCCAACTATTTTTATGGAATTTTTTCGAAAGTTCAGTTTTTCAATATAAAATTTTTAACTTTTTCAACGCATTTTCGAAAATTAACTAAAAAAATCGTGTTGTATCGTTAAAAAAATTGACCATCAAACCGGGTATTTTAACACGCTTTATAGCCCATAACTTTTGTAAATTTTTAGGCAACTTTTCCAAAATTTCCTTTATGAAATTTTTGACGTTTTTTGGAATATCTTGGAAAATTATATACCGAAAAAGATTTTTTTTGTAAATTTCGAGTTGTGACCAACCTCCACAAGTTCTTTTTGGCTTTATTTCTTCACAAATTCTTATTATTTTTCCAGAATCACCAAATAGAATATAGTAACTT